GCAACACATTTTGTAGTTTATCCTGCCAAGCTGACTGACTGGCTTTCCTCCCACTATTTAGGCGAGTCATAGGGGGGGCGGAGGCGTCTCGTGAAACAGGAAGTTGTCCGTTTCGCTTAATGTTCTCCCGTTACTGACCTCGTCGCATAAAGAGGCGAACGGAGAACTTAGGGCGGAGAACTTTAACGGAGCTTTGTGAAATCGCGCTCCCGTTTGTCCGTTCGCTAAGTTCTCCGTTCATGTCCATCCATTCGCTAAATAGCGCGAACGGGAGAACTTAGCGAGAACTTAGCGAACGTTAGTGAAAGCGCTCCCTAGGTTGTGCTGGGTGGGGGGGGATTCCATTATATTGCAATGGTAGCAAGGTATGGCCGCGGGAGAGACACCATATTCACCTAAACCTAAAACTTCGTTCACAGTGCATCGCATTTTTAAGAAATCTTGTTCGCAGCATGTTAAGTTTTTAAGCATACCGAGTTAAATACATTAAGTTAAGCAATCCGAGTTTAGCAATTAAGTTCCGAGCATTAGTTTAGTTAGCCATGCAGATCTTACATTTTTGGCCGTTCCGGAGACCCCTAGTTTTTTAAGATATTTCCGTTCGCAGTGCATCGTACTTGAATACATCGTACAGAATACGTTGAAGCGGGCCGTCAAGGCATGCATGCCAACGTGTGTGTGTTGTAACTCGAATCATAATAATTAACCATGTTTGGTCCAATCAATTGAAGTTATAGACATAACTTTACAATAGCTGTATCCAGAAACCTTACAGGGTGCATCATTAAGACGCTCACGACAACGCACGCACGCACGCACGCACGCAACGCACGCACGGCACGCACGCACGCACACTCACACACACACAATACACACCCCCACACAACCGGCGCGGCCCGGTGCGCCCGCCCGCACCGCACGCTACGTCCACACACACACACTACATTACACACACGACACCACACACACACACGCCCGCACACACGACGACACCACACGCGCGCCGGCGCGCGCGCGCGAGATAGCGCACACACATACACACACACACACACGCAACGCACGCCTCGAACCGACGCACGCACGCTTACATACAAAACACCACCACAGCGCCAGAGCGCGGCACGCACCGCACGAGCACGCACGCACGGCACAAGCGGCGCCGCGCAACACACACACACACACACATGATCTTGAATTAGCTGTGTTTATGCCGAGAATGTGTATACCCTGCGCGCAGTATTCTATAAGGTATTCAAATAAACGTCTTCTCCATTAGGCAACGGTAAAAATGGCAGAAGGGCAAACGCTACAGCAGCTGCTGCTGGCTTGCTGCTGTTGTTGTTGTTTTTGCTATTTTTGGGCTGGGCTGCTGCTCACCGCGCCGCTGCTGCTGCTGCTGCTATTGTTGCTGCTGCTGCTACTACTACTACTGCTGCTGCTGCTGGTGCTGTTACTGTTGTCGTTGCTACTGCTGCTGCTGCTGCTGTTGTTGTTGCTAGTTGTTGCTGCTGCTGCTGATGATGATTGAGATGATGTCGCTGTCTATTGCCTGCCCGTGATGGAGGCTCTCCCGTAAATACAGCAGTTCTTACAGGTAGAGATGCCCCGTATAACCAACGCCATAGCTGTAATGTTATTATATATATATATATACATATATATATAATACTCTGTTAGACTGTTACTATATGTGCTGAGAGATGGCGTGCGGGATGGAAGTTTGCCCCGGCCGGCGGGATGTAAACAGATGATTACTTCTACTTCTACTTCTACTATTACTAAACAGATGATTACTTCTACTTCTACTTCTACTTCTACTTAAACAGATGATGTACTTCTAACTCTCTAGCTTCTAACTTCTAACTTACTACTTCTACTGTCTACTTCTACTTCTACTTCTACCTAAACAGAATGATTAAACTTCTACTTCTACTCTGCATACTTCTACCTTCTACGGCATGCTGAATCAGTCCTGTAAGAAATATAACTGTCCCAAGGGCGTGCGCGAATACTCCAGGTGCAACGTGAAGATTTTAAAAATTCACCGGGGAACATTTTTGTAAAATGTAGGGCAAGATAATGTGGATATTTGGGGGGGGGGGGTGGTGTAACTCACATGAGCAGTAGCCTAGAGCAGGATGGGTAGATTGAACTCGTAGTATAGAAAGAGTAACCATATATAGACTAAGGACAGGATAAAATCTAGACAGCACATGCAGATATAAATATCAGCACCTGGGCGCAACCATCTTGGATCATACGGGATGGGGTCTAGGGAAAACAAGGAGTGTAATAAAGCGAAAAGCGATAACGCTATATATATAGAGTATAATAATCAACGGCGTTTATGTACCTATTAGTCCAGCATAATATACGAGGAGATTTGAATACGAATGAATGAGTCTAAAGTTGGTCCGAAGAGAGGAATATTTTACTTAGAAACGAGTTGCATGCAGGCTGGTGGCAATAATTATTCGTACCAGCCACGGGTTTGCGCGTACAAGCGAGGTGAAACTGTTGCAGACCCACAGAAATAGAATAAGAAAAATAAAAAAAGAATAGAAAATAGAACTAAGAAAAAGAATAGAAAAAACTTGCTATCTATTTCTGTGGTTGCACCAACGCAGACTAACGAAATCTGCGTGGGCAGTAGTGTTTTGCAAACGTGTGCTAAAACAACGGCACATAGGGGGGCGTTACCAGCTATGGATATCAGGCGCGCGGACCGAACCGAGCAAGTGTTAGCGTTAATTTTCAGGGCTAGATATGGAAGAAGAAGAAGAAGAAGAGGAAGAAGAAGAAGAACGAGGAAGAAGAAAGAGGGAGAAAGCATTTTAAGGTCTCGAGGGTTCACACACACACACAACACACAACACACACACACACACCACACACACACACAGCACGCCACAACACGCCAACACACACACAACACACACACACACGATACACAAAACACACGCCACGCCCCACCCCCACACACACGCACACAGCGCGTCGCACCCCACACGCTCACACAATAAACCGCCGTACGGCCCGACCCCCAGCACGCTACAGCACGCACAGCAGCCCCCCGCACACGCATGCGTGCCTCGCACATCAAGTACATGCTGTATCATCTCTCGTTTTCTGCCGAGAGTAAAATGCGCTATACTATGAAAATCACAACCGCGAAATGTCATGTATTGCTTAGCAGAGGCCAGCGACAATTGTGTAATTTCTATTATGTATATAGATACGTCATAACATGGATAAGCATCAAGAATCGCATCGACGAAATGCTAGTCAGCGCAGCCGGCTCGATCAATCGCTTCGATCTATTAGCATTCTATTAACATCTATTAGACTTCTATTGACATCTCACTATAACTGATTATAATTAACCTCTCGCGCCAGAGCATGGGCGGGGGTTATGTTTTCAGCCGGCGAGTTTTGAGTGTTGGTTGTGTTTTGTGTGTTACCGACATGCACGTTTCAGTGTTCTACTTCTGCTAGGTGCGCTGGCTTGTAGAACTTACAAACAGGGGGGGCGCAAGCCACATGCATGAAGGGGGCAACGCATGTCTAATGCCACAGTCCTCCACCTTGCACCACTCGCACTAATGCGGATCCAATTAAATTATTCAATTAATTAATTAAATTTTTCCACTTAATTAATTAATTATTTAATCACAAAAATTTCACATTGAGAGAATTCAGCTGGCCTTGGCAGAAGGTCTGCTGCTCTCCGAGTGCTCTCTACGTTTATATTTGCAATTGCGCGGCCGCGGTTACGCGTAACGCATTGCCGGGTCGCGTAGCACGCGTGTGATAACTAGAAACTGCATAGTTTCACACCACCGCACAGGTGATTAAGCGAGAAGAGGCGACGGGCGACTCTCTGCTGACACACAACCACATGCCACGGGTCTATAAATAAATCAGCATTGTCGCGAGATCGGTCAATAAACAGAGGCCACCCCGTACGTGCCGCTCAGATGTCGTAAGGGAGAACCATAATGACAGGCGTGACCGAGCACGGAACAGCGGGTTCGACGCCTCGAACGCGGTGGCGGAGGCTCGAGGAGAGAGAGATAAAAGGGAAGAAGTTTGAGAGGAGTTCGAAAGAGAGAACACCCGGCCTACGAAGTTGGCACGTGTACACCGTCACTATTCCGTCGTGTTTAGAATAGAAGCTCAGCAAATTTACTACGTTTACACCACTCCGTACGTCTACTATCTACAAGCGTAACATCTCGACTCTACATTTGGCACGCGTCGACCAAAGAATCTTCGCTCCCGCCTTTGCGACACCTTGGAGCTCCCAACGCAAAGTCGGCATCCAGCTAACTGCGATCGAACGTGGCCGTAAGAACTCACTGTCAGCACTCACTTGTCCGGGTAAGTGGAGACGTTAATTGTCGTTTTACATTGTGTCACATGTGTGTGCGGTATTGTTACCATCGTCTCTCATAACCCCTAGGCGCATAATTTAAAGCATTTAAACCGTTTTAACGGCATTTACCCATTGTTCCGACCGCGATGAACGAAGCTACGATTGAATCAGCTAAACGCGGGTATTGTACGGAGGGCCTTAAGCCTGTCTATGGAAAAATGTAGCGGAACGATTTTAGCGAGGGTTTAAGGGTAGCAGAAGTCCGGCAGAAGTATTAACTAAAATTTTATTGGGGAATGAGCTTATTGTTGGGGGGCCACAAGTTCCAGGAATGGCGATTTGATCAAATTAGACATGGGCGCAATTTAGAGTTTAAATTTAACGGAAACGAATTCAGAAATTTAAGGCAGATAAGCACCTTTGGGATGGCGCAAGAAAGCGTCCGAATATACTCGCCGTTTGTTAATAAGATACACCTCTTGAAAGAAAAAAACGATTACGTGCGCGAGGCGCGTGTACGCAGCTTTACAAGACATCGCTATAAGGACCCTAAAGTGTCGCTCACTCTTCGGCTAAAAAAAAAACGCTTTAAAAAAAGTTTTAAACCAGAGAAGAGGGGAGAGTCCTATCCGAGATTGACGCGGATCGTTATCGACAGGTGGCACACCCTAAGCAATTCCACGAGAGCCAGATTGCAACACGAAATCACGGCAGAAACAGCCTGACGCGTGCAGGAAATTTTTTCGAGCAGGGGTTAAGCAGTATATCGACACAAACACATTGAATGAAACGGCGACGCCACGCACACTACAAAGGCACTCGAGACTGGCCGACAGGCAAAGCGGTAGTAGAACAAGGATCGCAATGCCAATACGTAAACAAGGGAGGGCACGCTACAGGGATGATAACGGCTGGGCAACGCTACAGGAATTGTTAACTATGGGAAGCCTATGGAAGTGGATCTAGTTAGAAGCAGCCGAACGGCTAGAGTACATTTGGCATCAACAAGCTCCCGGCGTAGGCGAAATGAGGCAGCTTGGTGGCTAAGCACTGCAAAACAATATGCAGCAACACAAGAGCGAGAAAGACAAAGAAAGCACGCCGCCAAACACGCGCACAACAAACGCAAGCACAGACACCCCGCCACGGGCCGGAAGAATACTAACCCAACCGCGGTAGGCCAGCTAACGACTCGGGCTATTACACACACTGCTCGCCGCCGCTAGGCAAGACAATCGCTACGACCGGAGACCGCCAATCAGATAAGGTTTAGTGTTTCCGTTTGTGGCATAAGAGAGGGGCATTTTGCAGCAGAAATTGTCGGTAGTATTACCAGTCGGGAAAACGCACCGCGCCCGATAGACCGCAACAGAAGGTTAGGGGGCGGGTCAGATACGGTCGCACACCTTCGTGTCGCGCCAGTGTTGTGATGTTCGGGTGGCGGGCCAAAAAACTAATCGCTCTTGTCGGAGCAGCGGCGGCAGAATGTTTCATTAATTCACGGAGACAGTGTTTTGGAGAGGGTTACCTAATGCAACGTAGAGAGGCGGCTCACGTCGGCTCCGAACAACGAGCAGTGTCCGAAATTACAGTCAGTCAGGCGGGTGAAGCAGCCTCTGCGGAGTAAACACAAGTCGCTTTTAGGGGGTGCCCTCGGACGGGTAAACATCCCTCCGGGTTTTGGCGTCGTAGCAGCACACTGCCAAAAGATTATATATTTTAGGGCCGTAGACCTTCCCGTTGCCTGCGAAATCAGGTGGGCATAGATTTTTCAACGAGCTCAGCCCGTTACCATAGGAATAGCATGTCCATCCTATCAGAGCGGCGCCAAGGGAGATCGGTACCCCACTCTACGGCTCCAAAGTAGCCTACATCGCGCCGTAGACACGCACTTCCGCCGCTATCCAGGACCAAACGCATGGTGGGAGTGTCAGAATCAAAGAAGGTGGGGTACGGTCCGCCGGGACACACATCAGACCACTACAAGCGCGGCCAAAGGAAGTTACCAGCGAATTCGGATTACAGATACTGACAAAAACGGCGCCGGCATCACCGACCGGTGGCAAGATTAGCTGCCTTCTTAGGAATATACACACAGCAGAGACCAGGAAAACAGGGGAAGTGGTACGTAAGCGACAGGAGGACCGGGAGCGGGCGGACAAGAAAACTAGGGCCCCGCGCTACGGGAGAAGACGATGCCGAAGAGCCCGCCCCAAGGCGACATTACCAACCTGCATCATAAACCACGTTAGACAAGCGTCACACAGTCATGGCGACGCCCGGCACGCACGCAGCCCTGGGGCTCAGCGCGCC